GTTATCAACAACATCAACAATATCAATATCAATAATACAAAAAGCCATTCGCATCATCTCATCGTTAAACCACAATCCAGTATCATATTCCGTTGTTCCATTCCTGTCGTCATTACCAATTATTGCATTTCTTGTTCGAACGCCTTCTTGAACAGCCACGTCTTTAATTTCCTGCAGAATATCATCAGGGAAGGGGCCAATCTGATGTCCACGGGAAGGGTGTTCCACAGCCCAGGCGCCACCACCGAGAAGGCCCTGTCTCTCGTCCCCGCCAGGCGTGCCTGTGAGGCAGGCGGGATCGAGAGCAGGGCCTCCCCGGACGATCTCAAAGTCCTCGTGGGCCTCGGCCTCTTGTAAGCCGCACCGAGTCATTCGGGAGATGTTAGCAGGGTATAAATAAAGGTTTATTATTATTATTATTATTATTATTATTATTGAGTTTCATATCTAGCAGTGTTTGCCCCTCCACATCCCCGTCTTGATGGAGGTCTATATAGACTTTATATTTCACGGGTCTTTTATGTGTGGGAGGGATGAAAGATTGTGTGCAAACATGTAGAAGGAGGTTGCTGGTGTTATGCTTCTGTCCTCATAACAATAAATCACGCTAGAATAGACACATCCATTATTTGGTGGCTACATACTCTAGAGAGAAGGACAACTGTGCAATTGTTTATGCTATGACCAGATACAACACCAATCAATCAATAGTCATTTTTATAGCTAAACAATTTTATTGAGGTCTCTCTTTTTTAGTTTTTTTTGCAAAATTAAAACAAAAACAACTCCCACCCCACGCCACCCACCCCAAGATTTAAAGGCCATGGGCAGAATTAAACCAAATGAACCAGCCACTTGGTTGTAGTAGCTGATACCTAATACAGCTGGTTATTATTGCATATACTCCTAGTTCATTATGTCCATGTCGGTTTGGCAAGATTACAATCGTAAGAGTAGCTTTGGTTTTGTAAAACCTTTTAGTAATACTTCATAAAACATACAGTCTGCTGACATTTGACAACGGAGGCTGAATCTAAAATGCAATGGTACAATCAAGAACATTTGTTTGAACTCTGATCTGCCCCAGAGAGAAGATTAAGGGGGAGACAGTGCTCCTTTCTGCTTGATATTTACACCCCTTAGGCTCTTTCTAGAAGATATTTCAGCAGAAAGCAACCTACTTCCTTCTTTCTTCCTCCTCTTTTGGGAACAGTTGTGACATCTACATGTCATAAGTGAGAAAAGAGCTTGGAAAACTCCCTTTTTTGAACTACAACTCCCAGATCTACTAGCCAACATGGCCATTGGGAGTGGTTGTTCAAATGCGGAGTATTTAAAAAGCTCTGGGTGGGGCAGTCTTGCATTTTCCCCATCCAAGATATACCATATGTTTTAAAAATTATCCTGCACCCACTATTTGAATGAAATGTGAGTTTTATTTTTAACTATTCTATCTTCACTCTCATGATTCCTCGCCATCAATTAATTTTTTTTACCATATTTCTTCAATTGTAAGATATCTCTGATTGCAAGACGCACCCTAATTTCAGTACAACCACTACAAACAAAAATGTATATAGGATAAACCTGCGATTCAAAGACGCACCCCATTTTTAAAGATGTTTACCTAGTCTTAGAATCAAAGAAATACAGTAGACTGAAAACTGGTTTTCCCTTTATAGCCCTTTGTCATGGTACAATGATGTTTGTTTTGATTGATGAAGCCAGAATTTTAATAATCTATGTGTGACAGAACCTCTCCTCTGCCATCTTAAGTAATATTATCTGCATAATTTTAGGCCATATAAAATCCAGATTACATGCTTTGAACTGGATTACATGGCTCATATAATTTGGTTCAAAGCAGATAATGTGAATTATCTGCTTTGATAATCTGGATAATATGGCAGTGTAGAAGGGGCCTTACTTGTAATCTGAATCATTTTGGAAAGCTGGGTGGATTTCACTACACAAGCCTTTCTGACCTAAGTTGTTATGATAGAGTCTGCTGGCAGTGATAGTAACACTAGTTGTATTAGGAGAGGCAGGAAAACTACTCGCGAGCAAGACTATGATGAAGAGCAACAAAGGAAAAGATACTTAAGGAGCCAACAGATGAGGATTCTTTTGAGGGTTTTGATGCAAATGAACTGGATGATGGGATATCAGATTCTGGGTCTGATGGGATGGATTGGACAAGGGTTCGAGAGATTCAAGATATTTGTGCTTAACCCACAAGCAGTGACACATTTGAGGGTTGGAATAGTGAAGACTTGGATGGGACTTGGGGACCTTCAGGATTAGACCAGAGATGGACTACTTGGAGGAGTGGTTGAAGAGGCACAGCTGGGAATGGGTTGGGCCAAACTAGGGGCGACTCCAGTTCAGATGAGGAGCTGCAACAAGATACAGCTGGGACACGGGTGTTGGCTGAATCAAATTCTGATGAGGACTTGTAGATAAAAAGGGAGTGTTTGCTATTGTAGCCTTGCAATCAGCAAGGAGTCTTGTTGGGTGCTTTCGGGATCTTTGCTACAGAAGACGGGTTTGAAAGAAGACTTTGGGACGTAAGTTATGCTCTGGGATTTAGCAGCAAAGGGGGCTGGAACTGTGTGGGTTTTTGCTGGACTGCACTGTTTTGATGTTTGCATTAGCTGCTGTATTGCCCCGCTGCTTTGGCTCCTTGTGTTTACTCATCGGATCGGGACCTGACCTGGCAGCTGTTCGTCTCTCTTTGGATCTGACCGGACTGGACTTCATTCTCTGTCGTTGCTCTCTCTCTCCTCCACATCTATGGCTGAGAGTCTGGAGCTGGCGTTATCTACATTCCTGCATACCAGTTCCTGCTGTGTTTGAGGCTTGGGTTTCTTTTTACAACCCTTGAAAGGCTGCATTTAAGCATTTTTTGAGTTTAATTCAAGTTATATCTCTGGTTAATCCAGATTATATTCTGTTGGGTTTTTTTTTTTTGCCTGTTTGGGCTTTTTCACACTGTGAACTAAGTGTTTTTTGCCCTGTGATTTTGTTTTGGGCTAATTCTGCTTGTTTGAACAATAAACTATACCCCTTTAATTGGCTGGCGTCTGACCTTGACATAAGTGGTTGGATTTGAACTCAACGGCTTTGTTTGTACGTAGAATGGATGAAAGCGACTCAGGAATTACAATAAGCAATACTAACACCACTCAATTAAGCATCTCAGCTACATTCTAGATGAATTGTGACTTGTAGTTTGGTGATATCTCTCTAGTTGAGGAGTCCAAATAGCCTTAAAACTGGGTTGTTGTAGGTTTTTTCGGGCTGTATGGCCATGGTCTAGAGGCATTCTCTCCTGACATTTCGCCTGCACTTTGGCAAGCATCCCCAGAGGCTACCTCTGAGGATGCTTGTCAAAGTGCAAGCGAAACGTCAGGAGAGAATGCCTCTAGACTATGGCCATACAACCCAAAAAAACCTATAACAACCCAGTGATTCCGGCCATGAAAGCCTTTGACAATACAGCCCTAAAACTGCCAAATCTCAGGATTCAGTAGAAGAATCCATGGCAGTTAAAGTACCATAGTGGTGGAGGCTCCTTCTTTGGAAGCTTTTAAACAGAGGCTGGATGGCCATCTGTCGGGGATGTTTTGAATGCAATTTTCCTGCTTCTTGGCAGGGGGGTGGACTGGATGGCCCATGAGGTCTCTTCCAACTCTATGATCCTATGATTTATAGTTGTGTAGTATGAAACAGATTGCTGTTAGAATTGAGACATTTGGAAAGACAACTGGATAGAAGAGGGATGGGCAACTTTTTCTCCCTAAACCTCCTGCCCCAATACATATAGATATTCTAACTAGAAATATCCAGAGCTCTTTAATCACATTTACTTTTTCTTACAAAATTCATGGCTGGTCAAGATGTTTCTCTGTTCCAGTCTTTTATGATGATTACCAACTCTACCATATGCCATTTAAAAATACCCATCTCTCATTGTGAATTAATCACTTTGCTTGGGTTTTTCCCCTCTCCCTGTTCTCCAAATTCATGGTGATGGCTGGGAAACTTACAATGTTTTTTTTTTTTTTTGTCGTGTCAGGAGTGACTTGAGAAACTGCAAGTCGGTTCTAGTGTGAATTGGCCATCTGCAAGGATGTTGGGATGCCCGGATCTTTTGATGTTTTATCATCCTTGTGGGAGGCTTCTCTCATGTCCCCGCATGAGGAGCTGGAGCTGATAGAGGGAGCTCATCCGCGCTCTCCCTGGATTTGAACCTGTGACCTGATGACCTGTGCCAGCACAGGGGTTTAACCCACTGTACCACCGGGGGCTTCTTACAATGTGATAATACAGGGTCACATGGAATTCTCCAGAAATCTTGTATGAGCACTGGCCAATACCTTATCCACCAAATCCCATTGACTGTCTTAAGTCTCAGTATCAAATGGAGTGCTAAAATTTCAGTGATCAAAAAAGCAATGGAAGTAATGGTAGGAGGTAATGTATTTTTCACCTGAAAAAAGATAATGATGAAAAGTCTGGGATTTCCTTTCGGATTGCTTTTTTATCTGAAAAGGCAACAAATACTTGGGAAGCTTTACGAGCTGAAGAGATAAACAAGATTACCTCTTCTGCATAAAGACTATGAGCAGTAATGTGTCATATGGTCTGCAGTTGATGGTGGTTGGTGATGGAAGGGTTAATGTATTAGTTCTAGAGAGTTTGGTGATCTGTAAGTAGGAGTTCATGGGTGAAAGCAAGTGGAGGTGTGCAAGAGATGGGTTGCAGCTGGGTGTTACTGGATTTAAGCAGCTAACCTTGGGATTGATCCTTGGGAGAAAAGTATTTGTTGCATTTTGGTGGTGGATGCTGCTGGTTTTTCCCCCCAGGTCTGTTGGATTTTCGGTATCTTGACCTGTCTCCTGTAATCTTGGAACCTTGATCCTTTGGACTGGCTTTTGACTCTGGACTCTGTTAATGAACTCTTGGCGTTTGACCACTGGACCCTTTTGACTACGAAGTTATTTTTGCTATCCGTTTTTGTTTATTCTGTAGCTGAGTGCTATCTTTGTGTTTTATATTTTGGTCTGTTAAAACAGCCAGCAAGTAAATGCTGTTTTAATTAAACTGTTTGATAAAATTGGGAGTTTTGATTAATCTCTACCTAAACAAGGTAGAGCCCTGGCAACGTGACATGATGTAACAATGCTCTTAGTCTACGGGTTGGCTCATTCCCAGAGTTAGCACCACAAAGGTGTATCTGCCATGAATCTGATAAGTCCACTACATACATTTATGCATGGAATTATTTCAGAGGCAAAGAGCTTACCTTCTGCTGGAGCCATCAGGGCTATTCCATGACTAAGAATTTTTTTGGGGGGGGGGGCAGATCAGTGTTGGATACAATACAGTGGAACGGTTGTCCTTTTAGCATAACATTGAAAATAGAAGAGATCGATTCATCTTAACAGCCCTTAACAGAGAAATGTTCACAACAAAGCAGACATTTTTTTCAATATGCAAAAGTTTTTTTTTCCATGAAGAAGCATAGATAACTTGAAAGAAATCATCCAAACAATTTAAGAGTGCTACTCCTGTTGGATTTAGATCCTTAAGGAAATTTGCAGTGAATAAAGACACAAATGTAACATGGTCTCCTATGTTAAGATGATCTAACACATCTTCATCCAAGGAATATATGAAGAAGGAGATGTTCCACATGGGTGTTGCCTTCTGCCCATATATGATAAATACAGGATTCGTCAGGCATCAGGCATTGGAAAAGAGAAATTAAGCTTCATAGTCATCAAATGATCAGCAATGTAAATTTTATATAATTCAGATGGAGCTGGATCTTGTTATATCCCATTACTCAGAGTGAATACTCTCACGATTATTTAACCTGTTATTAAAAAGATAGTACTTGGGAAGCGTTGCCTAGGAAAAGTTGGGATTTTGCTGGACTGGCAATTTTTATCAGGAAAGCTCATTAGAAATGGACTTTGTATTTGACCGTATTTGCAGCTGGGTGAGGAGAGGATACAGATTATCTAAATTAAAAAACTTATTTACACAATTGCTTTATGGTCTGTTAAAGAAAATGATACAGGAATTTTGTGTTAAGACCGTCACAACTGTATAAAAATACTTCCACTTAGGAAACTGAAGAGTTAATGCTGGATTTTTTGGGTTTTTTTTTTGTATATTTAAAAAAGGGGGAACTGGTACTAGTTTATACAGTACTTTTAGCTTCTGAAACAACAAACAATACAGACGTTGCTTAAGGAGCTGTTTTGAACTCACTTCTGGTGAGATTGTGCTTTGTTGATCTTACAAACCATAAATGCACACAGGTGGAAGAAAAAACTGTTCTGTCAAACCATCTTCCACACCACTTGCTGGGAGGGCTTCTTGCAGAGGTGCCACTGAAACCAACAGGAGTTCAATGGAGAGCAGAGTCTGTTCAACTCCCATTCATTTCAATGGCACATGAACCGTTCTTCTTTGTGAACTGCAGCGCTGTTTCGAATGATAAGACTATTCTGAAAGCAATGTTTTCCAGTTCAAGCCATGGTCTTGATAGAGACCTGTCTCCTATCCTTAGGCAACTACCGTGGAAGTGTTCCAGAAGCACCATTTCCGTTTCGAATGATGTTTATTCTGCGCAATGTCTTCTTTTTCTCTTTCTTTTTTAACACGCTGGAAATGATCTTCCTCTTTGAGGTACCATACAGGCGGCCAGCGGTGTCTCTCAAAATATTCCTGATTATCTGTATTAAACAAAAAAAAAAAAAAAAACCCAAGAAAATCTGTAACTAGGTTGTGCTTTCATTCTGCAAATAGTTAGACACACAAACTTAACATAAAGTAAAGTATTTTATTTTATTAACTTTATTTGTACCCCGCTAGTATCTCCCCAAGGGACTCGGTGTGGCTTACATGAGGCCGAGCCCAAACACAACAACAAAGGCAATAAAACATCAATACAAGCAATGAAAAAACATAGACAATAAAATACACAACATTATCAAAAAAGCAACACATAGTTAAAACAGTGGGAAGGCCAAATGTAAAATTAAAATTGGAAATAATGCTGAGCCATGAACTAGTGTTTATGGAGGGCATACAAGCAGACTCAGGAAAATGTAAAGTGCTTTGGAGGACAAAGTGCTATGGGATTCATTATTCCGGGAAGACACACTGGAACAGCCACGTCTTCAAGTTCCTCCTGAAGACTGCCAGGGTTGGGGCCTGCCTGATGTCTTTAGGGAGTGAGTTCCAGAGTCGAGGGGCCACCATCAAAAGGCCCTCTCCCTCGTCCCCACCAAACGTGCCTGTAATACTGGTGGGATTGAGAGCAGGGCCTCTCCGGAAGATCGAAGGGATCATGTGGGTTCGCATACAGAGATGCGATCACGTAGGTAGGCGGGTCCCAAACTGTTCAGGGCTTTATAGGTAAGAACCTGAACCTTGAATTGAGTCCGGTAGATGAATGGCAGCCAGTGGAGCTCCTTGAACAGGAGGGATGACTGCTCCCTGTAAGGAGCCCCAGTTAACAACCTGGCTGCCGCCCATTGGATCATCTGAAATTTCCGGGCCGTTTTCAAGGGTAGAGCTTTCCAAACTGTATGTCATGACACATTAGTGTGTCTAGTGTGTTGTGTGAACATAAAGAGAAGCCTCTGAGTCTATGTGAAAAGAAGAGAAAGAGAAGAAGTGTACAAGGTGTTTTAACTGACAGCAGTAGCAGCCAGCCATCTGGAACCCTACTGATGCAGCTGAGAATGGCATTGGCCTTTTCAGCTACAGCATCACACTTGTTGGATCATGTTCCGCTCGTGGTAGACTACGACTCCCTCCCAGGGGGCGAGGGAGGAGGAGAGGTGAGGATCCTGATGGGAAGGCATGGGGAAAGGCCTCTTCTTTCAGCCCCACATACTCCCGCCAGGACCATGACCCGAATATAAGCCGAGGGGAGGCTTTTCAGCCTGAAAAAAGGGCTGAAAATTTGACTCATAGTCGAGTATATGCGGTAATCTAGTTCAAAGCAGATCCTGGGATATAAGGACAGTGTAAAAGGGCCTAAATAGCCTGCAGAGGTTCTGGGGTGTGTGAGAAACTGTGCAGAGATGCCCTTTGGAAAACACCTATTCTCATGGCTCTCAACCTATTCCAAATCTTCTTTGGAATTTCTTGGAAAATCTGGATATTTGGGTTTTTGTTGTAAAGCACAGACCCAAAGAATAAAGAGAAAACACATGCACAAAGATTGCACAAAGGGCTGAACAAAAAAAACCTCACCAAGGAACCTTACCAGGAGATTTAGTTTTGATTTCCTTTCGGAACTTAGAACAAACACTGTTGTAGTTGGTGCAGATATAGTGCAAGCACCAAGCTGCCAGCTGGTTAGCATTGTGGAACTGGAAGAGAAGAAAAGCAAATTGATATATCCTGTGTCATCAACAGTGGATTCACAGAAGGGTTTTGATGCTAAGGGAGGAGAAAAATATTCTGGAACTGAGCCATCTCCGCTATTCATGAATGTTTAACATCACCGCAGAACACAGCATGATGTTCAGTACAATGGAAGCATAAGGGCTGAGGAACCTAAAATTAACAGCAGTAAAATGTGCCGAGGTCCAGAGGAGGAGCAGGTCATGTGCTTTAGAGATAATGTTCTAAAGGCAGGGTTGCAGATTTGATTCTCAATCAAAAAATGAATGGGGATGGGATGGGATTGTGACAAATGAATGCAAAACAAATTAGTTGGGGCAGCAGACCACTAGAACCTTAATTGGGAATCATTTTGGGGGAGGTCATGAGACAGGTCATGAGACAGTCACAGGTTTCTGTGTTCATTCCGCCTTGCTAGCGCAGAAGCTGGGGAAAGGTCTGTGGGGAAGAACTGGGGAACAAAAAGATGGTTCTGAGTCAGGCTTCCCCAACACAGTACCCTCCTAATGGAGTGGACTACAACTCCCATCATGGCCATCCTGGCTGAGATAAAGGGAGCTCTAATCCACATCTAAATGGTAGGCATGTGCAATCCATGGTTCTAAATCAGGGGTCCCCAAACTATGGCCCGCGGGCCGGATCCGGCCCCCTGAGGGCATCTATCCGGCTGTGGAGAAGGGTGAGAGGTGGGCGAAGGGGGAGGGAGGCGGCAGGCGAAGGGGGGGGAGGCGGCGGGTAAAGCGGCTTGGGCCCGCTTTGCCCTCCGTCTCCATGGGCCCAGGCTCTCCTGCCTTTGGGATACGGCCTTACCGCATCCAGGAGGCAGAAGAAGGGGGGGGGGGAAGCGGCGGGCAAATGTTGTCCCCTGACCTTAAATCCAGTCATGTCAGACTCTGGGACTCTGCTGCTCATCTCCATTTCTGAGCCGGTGTTGTCCATAGACACCCCCAAGGTCATGTGGCCGGCATGACTGCATGGAGCGCTGTTACCTTCCTGCCAGAGTGGTATCTATTGATCTACTCACATTTGTATGTTTTCAAACTGCTAGGTTTATATTTATTCTAAACTGCTAAGTTTATATTTGTTAAAATAGTTCTTCATTTTAATTATTGTATTATTTAAAGTGTTTTTTGCACTACAAATAAGATATGTGAGGTGTGCAAAGGAATTCATTCATTTTTTTTTCAAATTATAATCCGGCCCTCCAACAGTTTGAGGGACTGTGACCTGGCCCTCTGGTCAAAAAGTTTGGGGACCCCTGTTCTAAATGGTTCTCAAGTACTTACAAAACTAAAGTTCTGGCTGTGAAAACTAGGGGGTGCTGGTGCTTTGCTTCTACAGTGTTGCTAAAGTTCTGGTGATGAAAATTTCAGAACTCTAACAAAACTTTCAAAATTTCATTATTATTTCATTATTGGTGGTTTTTATGACAGAACCTATTAGGAGCTGCCATTTATAATGAAATTTTGAAAGTTTTGTTAAGAGTTCTGAAATTTTCATCACCAGGACTTTAGCAACACTGCAGAAGCAAAGCACCAGCGCCCCCTAGTTTTCACCACCAGAACTTTAGTTTTGTAAGTACTTTAGAACCATTTAGAATCATGGATTGCACATGCTTACTAAATGATCCAACTTGGGAAAGCAGGCCTGTAATACTGAACTTTTTAAAGCATTTCCCCCCTAATTCCACACTCCAGGGCTTAACTGCCAGGACTGAGACCACTGGAGTAAAATGCAGGAATGTGCATACTCTTCAAGCTTCCTGCTCATTTTTCCCTCCCAATTTTTCATGTCTGCATTTCTGCAGCAAACAGAGATTAGGGAATGCATATTTCCTAAAGAAATTTGTACTTTTGACATTGAGCTTTTTCAAGAAACAGTGGGAAGATGAACCTAATAAATCCCCAAGGCATTTCACAGATATTCAATAGCTATAATTAAAATCACAGAGATGTTCAAAAAAATATTAAATGTCATTTTATGCTTGGAAATATAGGCTGAGCATGCTTTTTCCAAAACCTGAAATACTCCAAAATCCAAACATGTCCACATGGGTGGCTGAGACAGTGACTGTTCATGAAGAAACTTTGTTTCAGTAACAAAATTAATCAAAACTATTGTATAAAATTACCTTCAGGCTCTGTTTATAAGGCAGAAATGAAGAACCAATGAATTTTGTGTTTATAGACTTGAGTTCCATCTCGAAGTTGGGAGCCCCTCCCCCCAGCAACAATATGTAATACTAATATTGTGCTATGCTAATAATATAATATATTGTATGTAGATGTAATATTGATAATAATATACAATAATATAATAATATAATAATTATATATTATATATAACATGTATTACTACTAATAATATTGCAGTATAGTGGTATAGTAAAATATAGTAATATATAGTAATATATAATACTAATATTGTGCTATGCTTGTAATATTGCAAAGATACAGAATGGGGGATGCCTGGCTCGAGAGCAGTACGTGTGAAAAAGATCTTGGAGTCCTCGTGGACAACAAGTTAAACATGAGCCAACAATGTGATGTGGCGGCAAAAAAAGGCCAATGGGATTTTGGCCTGCATCAATAGGAGCATAGTGTCTAGATCTAGGGAAGTCATGCTACCCCTCTATTCTGCTTTGGTTAGACCACACCTGGAATATTGTGTCCAATTCTGGGCACCACAATTCAAGAGAGATGTTGACAAGCTGGAATGTGTCCAGAGGAGAGCGACTAAAATGATAAAAGGTCTGGAGAACAAGCCCTATGAGGAGCGGCTTAAGGAGCTGGGCATGTTTAGCCTGAAGAAGAGAAGGCTGAGAGGGGATATGATAGCCATGTATAAATATGTGAGAGGAAGCCACAGGAGGAGGGAGCAAGCTTGTTTTCTGCTTCCCTGGAGACTAGGACGCGGAACAATGGCTTCAAACTACAAGAAAGGAGATTCCATCTGAACATGAGGAAGAACTTCCTGACTGTGAGAGCAGTTCAGCAGTGGAACTCTCTGCCCCGGAGTGTGGTGGAGGCTCCTTCTTTGGAAGCTTTTAAACAGAGGCTGGATGGCCATCTGTCAGGGGTGATTTGAATGCAATATTCCTGCTTCTTGGCAGGGGGTTGGACTGGATGGCCCATGAGGTCTCTTCCAACTCTTTGATTCTATGATTCTATTATTCTAATACAATATATTGTATGTACATATAACTTGTAAGCCACTCTGAGAAGGGCAGGATATAAATGTCGCAAATAAATAAATAAATATTAAGAATATATATTCAAGTACAGATATTCCAAAATCTAATAAATAAATAAAATAAATAAATAGAAATCCAAAATACTTCTGATCTGATGCATTTCAGATGAGGGATACTCAGCCTATCAAACCTTTCCAAGCATACAAGAATGATCAGAAGAGCTCCGCTCCCCTTTCTCAAGATCCTACCATAAAACATATATTACATCTATGTCCGGGTGGCACTAACCTGGGCTATTTCCAAGTAGCACAGCACTTCTCCATCTATACTAACACCACTCATTGCAGTCTTGGTAAGCTCCTGCACCGCATGTTGCTCTGTAACAGTTGAAAGGAAACACAAACCAATATGCTTTGTAACATAACTATAGTTCACTCCAGTCTCTAAATCAACTCCGTTGTTTAGCCATCACAAGACTGCCCCAGGAAATGGGAGAGAAAACAGTTACTACAGCACTGCAATTTGGAGCTCATGTGGATTTATTTTTAAAGCCAAGGAGTAATCTTGTTTCCAGCCAATTCTCTTTGAGACAATGAAGCAATATTGGCAATTCTTGAATTAACGATCATCATATTACTAACACAATAGTTAACCAAGTCAGACTAGGGTAATAAACGTAAACTTGGACTTGTTCTTTTTATTTGCACTGGAATTGAAATTGCTTAAGATTCTGTATTAGATTCTGTATGAGACTCCCAAAGCCAAAATTGACAATGGAAAGTTGAATGTTCTAACTTTGGCAATTAAGAGTAATCATGTTGCCTAATAGGCACTATGAAGTGCAAAGTATTATTGGCTTTCTCTCCTTTAATCACACCCAAGCTTTCCAGTGAGCTGAATTACTTCAACACAAAGAAAGCTGAAAATGTGTGCTTTCATTTGGTTTTGGAAAACAAAAATGAATACTTGTGTTTTTTGCTTAAAGACCATGAAAAACAACCACCAATAATGCCAACATTACTAGCAAGAATTTGCTTGCAACACCAATGAATTGCTGTGAAACTTTACCTGCCAGCGCAACCAAGTGTGGAAGGCAAAATCTGTTCGCCAGAGCAATTAATTCAAGTGTGTCCAGCTCCTGACTGGATGAGAGTTGCTTGGTGTACAGATAATCCAAAACAGCTTGCATGGAGGCCTTGTTTATGTTGGGAAGAACAACCTGGAAATGAGCAGAAGAGAAGGTATATTTAATATATGCAGCACTGAAAATTGGTCCAGTTAAACATGTGGGACATATGATTGTTGCTATTTCCCCACATTTCTAGAAAACTAAGAAAAAAAAAAGTAAAAATAGAAGAAGCACCTCATTGCAAGAAAAGCTAGCGCCCAAGTATATGCACTTGAGTAGAGATGGAAGGTCTGGGAAAAAAACCAGAAATATTGTAAGGGGGGGGGGTTCTATTTTTTCTAAAGCCATCTTTTCCCAAAAAATAAAATAAAAATAAAAATGAAAAGTGTGTTATTTTCCAGATAAATAATATATCTATGCTATAGTATTCAAAATATATAACATGAAGACTTTAATGAAAGATTTCTGACACTTTATGTTACTATACCCCTTTCCCCTCAATTTTTCTGGAAAAAATGGTTTTGGAAACAAACAAACAAAAAAAACCCAGTTTTTTCCCAGTTTTTCCCCCAGGCCTTCTAATCTCTACACTAGACTAACAACTCCTGTTTTGCAACCTGCATTTACTGCTGTCATAAATTATTTGGCTTGACTCTTGATTTGTGTAATGTATTCTGCTTTTCTTTCTTTCTTTTTTAAAAATATATTTGTCTTAATTTAGTCTGAGAGTTAGCATGACATAGTGGTTTAAGCACTGAATAAAGACTGTGGAAAACCAGGGATTGAATCCCTGCTCAGCCATGGAAATCCAGTGAGTGACTTTGGACAATTCATACTCTCTCAGTCTCGGGGCCCTTCCATACAACCATATAAACCAAAATATTAAGGCAGAAAATCCACAATATCTGCTTTGAACTGGGTTATTTGAGCCCACACTGCCATATAATCCAGTTTAATGTGGATTTTATACAACTGTGTGGAAGAGGCCTCAAACCAAGTCCAAGGGAAACTCCACTTGCACAAAACCCCACAACAGAGTCACCATAAGTAAGAAATGACTTGGAAGCACACAACAAAAACAACAACAACAGAATAATTTAGATCAGTGTCATGAAGGGAAAAGCAAGGAACGATAGTAAATATGCTTTAACATTGGACTACTGGACATCCTATTCATACAGGCTTCTCAGATTTCAGCAGATACTTTACACATATTTTAAAGTGTATTTTGAAACACTGAAAACGAAAACATTTTTTTAAAAACAACAATTTAAATGGAATCTGGGATTCTTAGAAAGCAAAATCTTGGCCACTGCACTATGGTGGTGGGAGATGTAAGTGATTCTGAGGTACAGGTTGTGTCAGAAAGACCCCTTTATTGAAGTGGAAGCATCCAGAAAATAGAGAAGGGAGGAAGAACTGTGAACATAGATTAGACACTGCTGAATGAAGAGAAATGAAAAATTCAGAAAGCCAACATTTATGATCTTAGAAGATGACACCTGAATGCAGGATTTCAAGGAGGACAAAAGGGAAAGGGAACTTGCTTTTCAGAATAGAAAGAAAGTTGACTCTGCATGTGATTGTTTTAGTGTTATCTTGCTTGTATGTAGATAGTCACAAGGAAGTTGGGGGTCCCATGCATATTTTGCCCCAAAGGAAAGAGGACAGGATGGGGTAGGTGACTAGTTCTGTGAATGGAGTATGCCCTGCTGTCATGAACATATTATTTCAGATTTGAGAAATGTGAATTTAATAATGATGTGTGGGAATGAATGGAAGAATGGAAGTTGTATGAGTAGAGTTAATAATTTTGGAGACACCAGTAAAATATTAAGGCCTGCAATGACTACTTGCTTGCTGGACTGTAATTAAAAGTTGTTAATGACAGCTGAAAAAGTAAACTCTGATAAGAATTGGGACAGTGATAACAGAAATGCTTACAATGTTAAGAAGGAAGTCAACATAAGATCAATACCAAGCCAGGAAACTGAGATGGATCCAGGATGGAAGGCATGTATAATTAATTTACAACTTTAGGACTACATCAACAGAATATTCCTATAAAAGACTCAGTCTAATACTGTTCAAAGTGTGACAGACAGAGACACTGTTCACCTGCCATGCTCTGCTGCATGGGAAGGAGAGAGTGGCAGTTTGCACAGGTCATTTTGGGGCTTATTTCTGGTCATTTTGGGGCTTATTTCTCAAGGGAAGAGGAAGAAGTGTGCTTGGGAGTCTTAGATTTTGTGCAGGGAGTCAGGTTCTGCTGTATGGAAAACAGAGATCTGGTCTTTGGCATTGTTCTTAGGGCATTTTGAAGTTTTGGCATTATGGAACTATGCATAGACAGGTTGCAGGAAAGCAGGGTCTGGCCTAACAGGTGCTTCTCCAAGGAGGGAGAAAATTATATGTTTGGATGCCTGAGGATGAATGCGTGTACATGTGGTGTGAATGCTGAGTGAAAATGTAATTCCCCTTTGTTTGTTTGTTAGCCATGTAATTGTAAATCCAATGTAATTGCATAGAATCTGTATGTCTAAATATTTTTTCTGTAATCTGATATACCCTCTCACACTGGAAATTGTAATAAAAAGAACCTATGCTTCAAAGTTATTGAAAAGTCATTCATGACACTGCTCCATCCTTGCATTTCCTGCACAGGGTTAAGGTGGGTGTATAAATTAATCTACCAACTCCTAATGTGCTTTCAGGGTCATATGTTTACCCACTTTACCCTGTGCAGGGAAGGTGAGGATACTCTACTGGCACTACGAAAATCATCTTAAGCACTAGCTGTGTGTGCTCGGCTCCCACGCTGCCTTTCCTGTGTGAGAAAGCCAAACCAATGAAGGAAGCAAAGTTGGCTGAACTCAGCTGAGGCCAACTTTTTGTGGCTACAATATAACTAAAGGTGGCATGTATTTATCTTGATTGCACAGGGTGAATTTTATTTTCTTCAGATCATCACCCCCTATGGTACTATATCAAATAGGAATGTTCTCCTGTAAAAGATGATTGAAGAAACAGCAACTGAAATCATTTCTCTCTGCATGGAGGTACATTTTCCTCCTGCAGGAGTCTTTTTTAAATATCTCATCAAGAATTGTTGGCAGAGACTGGAACCCTAAGGAGAGGGCTCTTTATAGAGGGCTATTGACTAAAATCAGGAACAATGAGAGAGACATAAATAAATTTGACTTGGTTTCTATTCAAGTCAAAGACCCTACAGGTGTTTAACCTTAGTCTACTTGTACATCTCTGTGTAGGAACACAGAAGCAGGTGTGTATAACCGTCACGTGACAGATACTAACAGGAATAGAAAACACCTTGATCTTTTCTAAGCTGGAGGAAAATAATATATAGGGAAAATGAATGCACATAATGTCAAGGTCACTTCACACTGTAATTTTGGGACTTTGCCTCTCCACTAACATATTCTTGGTACTTAATATTAACACAGTGTAGCTAAAAATAATTCAGAATGCTTTCTGGATGCTGATTATTTTTCAGCACCCAGCAGTATTACCTTTCCTGGGACAATTTCATCCAGTAACTCTTGTCTATGCTGCTGCAACACTCTCTAGGCACTGTCAATGACATTTCTCCCAAATGGGGAACAATTATAGTTATGGGCATTGCAATTGGTCACAATGAAGAAAGTGGGTCAGTCCCATTCACCATAATAGGGATAAATATATCAGTGTTTTATATACTTCGAGAGCATCATGCTCCCCACTCCCCCAATTTAATCTAGATATACACTTCATCTCAACACTGGGAGAAAGCCTATTGGGAGTAGAATTTGTATAGATATACCTGGATGACTCTTTTTTAAAAGACAGATCTTTCTGTTGCCTCTAATGAACCAGGACAAAAGAAAGAGCATAGTCATGTCCTGATGCAGATGTACTGTAGAATAACCAGCAACTGCCCACCCTCCAGTTAGGGCACTATCTTAATAGGAATGTTTTTAGGGTTAGGTTTGGTTATTAACAACTATAAACAGGAACAATTATTACTAATGATCCGCAAGTAACAAAGGATTAACAAAGACACACCAGAAATAGTGTTGTAGTAGAACCTGTGAGTAATGTTACAAACAGTAGTATGGGTGCCAGAAAGGGAAAAAGGGTTACTCGGGAGCAGGAATCTGATGATGAGCAGCAGAGAAAGAGGATTCGGGACATACTTACAGCATCTACAGATTAGGAGTCATTTGAGGGATTCTCTGGGGACTATGGGTCAATGAATGAAGGAGAAGGAGACACCATGGATTGGACTAAGATAAGAGGAGTGCAAGCTATTTGTGAGGAGCCAACAACTAGTGATACCCTTATGGGATTCTCTGGGGGTGAAGACTGGCAATCAGAGGATCTAACTGAGCCTTGGAGGGAATCTAAGTCTTGACAGGAGATGGAGGAATTGGAGGGAGAGTCAAGGGAATTCACGTGAAGAGCTGGGAGCAGCTGCAGGGGATAGTGATGGGGCGGTGGTCAGTTCATCTTCTGATGATGATTTGCATATAAAAGTGGGTTCAGGGTTGAGGGGTCTTTGCAAAAGGCAAGGTGTTGATGTGCGTTCGTGTGCTGGGAAATACTCTTGTAGACTTGCTGCTGCCTGTTTCGTGTTTGGCGTTGGATCTCCTGATTGTTTGTGTGTTTCTGACCCGGACTGGCTTCTCGTGATTGTGGACTTCTCTCTTCCTGGACCTGTACCGGTTTGGCTAAAGAAGCTGCTTCTGAGGACTCTGGAGCTACGCAGTTTTGGATTTCTCCGCTTTGACCCTGGACTTCGGCTGACGACGCTTCTCTTCCTCCGGCTCCTTTTGTTAACCATTTGTGTACTGTGCCTTTTTGCTTCGCCTCAGAGCGCTTTGTTTGATTTGTTGCTCTTTGCATCCAGTTAATCTGGATTATATTTCTGTTAACCTTTTTGGACCAGGTCTGGTTTGTTTCTTGAGTTTTGACACTGCATTTAAGTGCCTCTGCGTCCCTTTTCTTTTGTGTTAATAAACTCTGTTTTGAAGCCACTTTTGAATCTGGCCCTTTAAAGCGTCTGTGATTCCAACAAAATCTGGCCCTTTAAG